GCTTCTAGGATTCTTCCAAGCTTTTCTCTAATGAAATTTATAGTCCTTGGTTTTAGTCTTATGTCCTTGATCCACTTTGAATTGGTTTTTGTGTAGGGAGTGACATGTGGTTCTTGCTTGAGTTTTCTGCAGATGGTTTTCCAATTTTGCCAATAACATTTGTTAAAAAGGCTGTTGTTTCCCTACTTAACTGATTTCATATCCTTGGAAAAAAATCAATTGACCATAGGTGGATGGGCTGATTTCCGGGTTCTCAATTCTATTCCACTGATCTATGTGTCTGTCATTGTACCAGTACCACGCTGTCTTGACCACTATGGCACAGCAGTAGGATTTGAAATCAGGGAGTGAGATGTTTCTTGCCTTGTTTCTTTGCTTATTCAGGGCCTCTTTCCATTCCAAATGAAATTGGAGATAGCTTTTTCCATCTTGTTGAAGAATGGAATCGGTATTTGTATTGGGATTGCACTGAATGTATAAATTGCCTTTGGTAGTATTGTCATTTTCACAATATTGGGTCTTCCTATCCATGAGCAAGGTCTATTCTTTCATTTCTCCAGGTCTCTTTTTGTTTCTTGTAATAATGTTTTGTAATTTTCTTTGAATAGATTCTTTGTGCTCCTGGTTAGATTTATTCCCAAGTACTTAATCTTGTGATTAGCTATTGTGAAGGGTATTGTTTTTCTTAGCTCCGGTTCTGTATTCTCATTGTCACTATAGAGATTTTTGTATGTTGATCTTGTATCCTGCCACTTTACTGACTTGGTCAACGACATATCCAGCTTTTTTTTCCCGAGTCTTTAGGGTTTTTTAAGTATACTATCATATCATCTGCATATAGAGATAATTTAACCTCTTTGTTGCCAATTTGGATACCTCTTATTTCCTTCTCTTGTCTTACTGCTATCGCTAAGACTTCCAATACAATACTGAATGAGGTGACAGTGGGCATCCTTGCCTAATTCCTGTTCTCAAAGGGAATGCCTTTACTCGCCAATGAGAACAATGTTGGCTCTTGGGTTTGCACATATATTTTTTACTATGTTGAAGAAATTCCCCTGTAGTTCTATTTTGTTGAGTGTTTTAATCAGGAAAGGGTGTTGGATTTTGTCAAAGGCCTTTTCTGCATCAATTGATAAGATCATGTGGTTCTTGTTATATGCTCTGTTAATGTGATGAATTACACTGATTGTTTTTCTTATGATGAACTGTCTTGGCATACCTGTTATGAATCCCACTTGGTCATGGTCAATTTTTTTTTTTTAATGTATTGTTGGATTCTATTGGCCAGGATTTTATTCAGGATTTTTGTATCTATGTTCACGAGAGATATTGGCCTACAGTTTTCTTTTTTGGTCGTGTCTTTATCTGGTTTTGGCATCAAGGATATGTTAGCTTCATAGAATGAGTTTGGGAGAATTCCATCTTTTGAAATAGTTTATGAGAATTGGGACAGTTCTTCTCTGAATGTTTGATAAAATTCACTTGTAAAACCATCTTGTCCAGGGCTTTTTCTGGCTGGAAGTTGTTTTATTACCTTTTCAATTTATTCTTTTGTAATAGGTCTGTTCAGGTGTTTTGGTTTGTGTCAATTTAGGTAGGTTGTGAAATCCCTAACTCTATTTTTTACTATGTCATCCTACAATCTATTCTCTACAAAATAGTTAGAATAATAACACTGTCTAAACTTATCCTGAGGGAGCTCTGGTGGACTTGTGGTAAAAAGCTGCACTACAATCCCAAAAGCATGTGGTTTCAATCCACCAGATAATCAGCAGGACAGATAATTCCATCCTCTCGTGCAATTTATTGCCTCTGCTGTTGGACAGGCAGTTATGGGTTGGTCCTGACTCAAAGGTAAACAACAACAACAAAATTATACTTGGTAAATTATACTTGGTCTGTGCTACTCCCTCTCAGCCCTGTCCCCAGTGCCCATTTGGCCTTTTGGATCTAGGAATGTGCCAAGCTTTCTCCTGTCCTCAAGACAGGATATTTCCTATGCCTAAAACTCTTTCTTTCTCTTTGCGTAACCAGCTTCTTGCCATTTAGATCTTAATTATGTCTTCAGAAAGGTCTTCTTACACTGCTGAGCATCTACTGTATCCCAATATTCCAATGTTTTGCATATGTCCTCTTTGGATATTTCTCTGTTGTTTTTTAACCTTTTTATTCTACTTCAATGAAGGTAAGCTCCAGGGGGGCTGGGACATGACCCTGGACTATCTTGGTAACTATTGCTTCCCCAGTGCCTTGAACAGTGTCAAGTGCTAAAATAAAATTTCTTAGAATGAATTTGTGACTATTCTTCTGGATCTCAATTAAATAATTAAAATCTGAATGTATCCACCAGATTTAAAAAAGATATATTGCTTTCTCAAGTTTAATGTACAAACATGATTTTTTAGAGTGCTGAAGAGCAATGATACTAGTCTAGCAACTAAAGTGTGCATGATCCAGGCTTTGGTTCTCACAATTACTTGCTATGCACTAGAGAGCTAGACAATAACTAAGGATGATAGAAGAAGGATCAATGCCTTTGGAGTTATGTGCTAGAGAAGAGTGGTGAACATACCTTGGACTGCCAGGAGAACAAATAGGTCTGTCCTGGAGAGGGTGAAACCAGTTTACTTCCTGGAGGCAAGGACTTTGAGGTTCTGTCTCACATACTTTGGGCACGTGGCCAGAAGCGACCAGTCCTTGGAGAGGGACATCATTCTTAAAAGGGTGGAGGGACAGCGCAGGAGAGGAAGATCCAGGATGAGATAGATTGACACAGTGACTGAAGCAATGAGATTAGGTTATAGGATAATGAGACTCAGGAGAGTGCAGGGTTTAGAGCTAATGTACATAGGGTTGTTATGGGTCACAGGCAACTCAATGGCACATAACAATAACAGGTCTTAAATAGGAAATAATAAAAAAAGTGCATCATATAATTAATAACTGAATTTCATCTTACTTACTTTGGAAGAAGTTTGTATTTCTGTAAGTCAATTTCAGGAAAAAATGTGTCACTTTCAAATTCCTGCATTATCCTTGTCACAAACAGTCTAAGATGGCCTGGTTGATTCATGGCTTCCTTTGAAATGAGAAAAAAAGGTATCAATTTCCTTATTTAATCAGTGTCAAAAAGACATAAGAACTCTATTTTTTGAAGTACATAATCAAGTTTGTATTAAAAGACACGCTATGTGACTTGTGACCTCTAAAACAGTCTATTTAAATCATCCTATTGTTTAGTTTAAGGTCCTGAAAAGTATGCCTTAGTTACGATGAGAATAGCACTAATTATTATGAATAGTTATGATAATCACTATGAATAGTTATGAGAGTGAATTTAAATATATTCTGGCCTCTGAGAATGAATTTAAATATATTCTGGCTTATAAGAACTCATTTTTAACTTAAGCATTAATTTTGTTTTTCCTCTTTTATTATTTTGAGAACCTTAAATTACCTAATTACTCTCCACAGACAAATCTGCATATAAATAAGATAGTTTCATGAAACCTATACCTATGGAAGCCCCATGGGGGTACTTAATATATTCACATAAAATTTAGTATTACTTCCATCTGTCAGGGAATAGTTACAATATTAGTGGCTAATTTATTTTGTCGCATGTCCTTAATTATTTTACTTGTCTTAAATTGTTAATGGCTGCCTAAGTACTGCTGATAGTTTCCAAGGAAAAAACTGCCTCGGGACTAGTATTTTAAAATCTAATAAAAAATCTTGAGTCCTAATCGTAGCTAAAAGAAAGCAGTAACTCTTGACCTTCAAATAGCTTAGAGGAAAAGAAAAGACTTCCAGGTGTTTGTTATTGATAAACCTCAAATTATAGAAAATAAGGCTACCTTTTGTTTTCAATACTAAAGCTTCTATTAAATAATTTCTTTTCTTGCCACATCAAGTAAATATTTTATTATTTCTTACAGTAACAAAAAAAATATCAAAACCAAATAGGACTAATCATGGCAGTCTTCCAAGTTTTATACCACAGTTCATAATATGAGACAGGGCCAAATGGTAAATATTTAAGTCTTTGGAGGCTATATAGTTTCTTGTCTTTGTAAGCAAAAGAAAACATTACCAAAAAAATATCACATCTATTGCCCTTGAATTCATTCGAATTCAAAGGAATCCTACGTGGCACAGCAGAACTTCTCCTCAGGACTTCTGGAATCCTTACAGAAGATGGCCACATCTTTCTCTCTCACAGTTGTTGGGAGGCTCGAAAAGCCAATCTTCCAGTTGGCAGCTAAGCCCTGACCACTGTGCTACGAGTTCTCCACAGCAGCTGTGTTGTTGCTAGCTGCCGTCAAGTCACTACAACTCACCCTGTGAACAACAGATCTGAACTCTGTCCTATCCTACACCTTCCTTATCATCCATTACACTTCACAGTCACTGACGAGATCAACCCGCCTCGCTGGAGGTCTTTCTCTCCTTCACTAAACCTCCACTCCATCTTTTCAAACACGATGTTCCTTTCTAGGGAGTAGCCTCTCCTAGCAACATGTACAGACTACGTGAGAAGAAGCTTTATAATCTTTGCCTCCAAAGAGCACTCTGGCTGCACTTTCTCCAAGACCTATCTGTTTGTTCTTTTGGCAGTCCATGGGATGGATATGTAGTAATCTTCTTCAACACCACTAAAAGCTATTGATTCTCGATCTGCCATCCTTATTCATTGTCCAGCTCTCAGATGCATACCGAGCGATCAGAACATGGCCTGAATCAGGTGCACCTCAGTCTTCAACGAATGTCAACACAAAATAATTGATTCTGGCTGTGTTTTAAGGAAACTTCACAAAAGCAGAGTTTGTTTTGGCCTGATAATGTCTGAATGATCTACAAGCTGTTATGGGAAGCTGTTGTAAAACTATCATCTTTCGATTTATTATTTATAGGCATACCAAAAAAACCAAACCAAACACACTGCCATTTAGTAGACTCCAGCTCATAGTGATTTTGTACTGCGTTTCTGTTGCTGGAAATCTTTACAGGAAGAGACTACTCATTTTTCTTCCATGGAGCAGCTGGTAGACTGGAACTGTTGACCTCAGCACAAGTAACACCTTATGCCACCAGAGCCCATTTATGTATGTTATTGCTGTTTTTAGGTGCCACTGAGTCTAAACCGGCTCATAGCAGACCCCATGGTAGGTTTCAAAGGCTTTAAATTGCAATGGAGGAGACTGCCTATCTTTCTCCTGCATTTGAACTGCATCCCTTTGGGTTGTCGGCGCAATTTGCTAGGACACCAGAGCAAGCCTTCTATGTATGTATACAGATACACAAATTATAGAAACACATTTAAGCACTTACATTGTATGTATTTTTAAGTGAGTATGATATTGAATAATTCATAAAGTGAAAAGTACTAAATAAATAACTTTTTTCTTAGGAACTCCTATTTGGATGAAAAGATTAAAGAAAAAGATTTCTCTCCATCTTAATGAAGATGATGAAAAGTAGGAAGTTAAAAGTGAGTTTTTATAATCCCATCTAGAGATATAGCATACCTTTCCCATCAACAACAATTTTAATGTGTATGTTATCACAGCCCCGCAAAGGATGCTGTTGTTGTTAAGTGCCGTTGAGTTGCGGCGACTCATAGCGACCCCATGAATGAAAGTCCTGGACACCTCTATAAACTTTCATCCTTTCTCCAGGTTCATAGGATTTCCAGAGGCAAGCTAATATGGAAGTGGATACCACTCCTGCTTCCAAGCTTGTATTAATCAGGAAGCTGCACCAAACACTGTGCACCATGGGTAACCATTCTCGCATCTGACTCATCAGTGTCACAGTGTTCGGCTTCATAGCAACCATGAGTACAGCAAGTGGACGTACCAGGGTTACACGACCTAGAAGAATGTTTCACCAAATACAATTAAAGGTAGGTCTGAAGGCCGTGGAGTAGAGTCACCCACCTTTGGCTTGGAAGCATGACTTTCTGTCTGCTAAGCCAACTGCTCTCTCTCTCTCTCTATGCTGTTGTTGTTGGTGGTGTTGTTAAGTGCCGTCAAGTTACAGGTGACTCATAGAGACCCTACGAACGAAAGTCCTGGACACCTGTATAACTTCCGTCCTTTCTCCAGGTTCATAGGGTTTCCAGAGGAAACCTTTTCTCAAAGTATAGAGGTTGATATTTTTACTCCCTGGAAATGTTAACTTTTCACTGGTGTTTTAAAAGAGACAAAGAATCTTGTTTATAATCCTCAAAAGTGTGTAAAGGTGGAAACCATCTGGGATAATAAAAAAAAATCTTTTCCCCTTCACATATCAGTGTCCCTTATATGCACTCCTGTGCCCTTCCCTTATGCCCTTACATGATACGAAACTAGATGGAGTATGTTGCCAGGAGAGGTTATTCCTTTGAGAGGAGCACCATGCTTGGAAAGGTAGACTGCAAACCAGGTGGACTGACACCGGGACGGCAGCAATGGGCTCGAGTGTGTCAGAGATTGTGAGGATGGCACAAGGACACAGTTCAGGTGTGTTGTTCATAGGGTCACTTTAAGTTGTACTCAACTTGACAGCACCTAACAACAACAATAACAGTAACAGATGGGGCAAAGTTGTCTGCCTTAATATGTTCAGATATAGCTGATCATTCTATTCTCTATTCAGTAAGAAGCACACTTTGGAATTACCTTAGTATATTCAGGGAGTTAAAAAATAGTCCAGTGAAAGTACTATTGTCAAAGAAGGATTGAGAACAACTACACACTGGAAATATCAGCTAATTTGAATGGAAAATGGGAAATTTATGGAAGGAGTCTTGGTAATGTAACCAAAAATCTAGCTGTTCATATCCACCTGGTACTCCAAGGGGGAAGAATGGGCAATTTCCTCCCACAAAGGTTTAGACCCTTGGAAGCCTGATGGAGGGTCACTGAGAGTTGAATTAACTCCCTGGCGGTGGGTTTGGTTTTAGGTTTTTAAGTTGGTTTTTTAAGTTTTAAAAAGCAGCTCTCCAGGACTTTTTTCTTCCCGACCCCTTGGTAAGGTCAAAATGCGAAGCTTTGATTATCAACCAAGTGCTAAACCACTGTGCCACTGAGGCTCCTTGAAAACACACTAGCAGGGACTAAAAAATTTACTTTCACACTATTATTTAGTCTGCATACAGTTAAACAACAAAGAACTCAAATTGATGATGTGTCTAACTGATAGTTGTGATAATGTGTTTTCTTGGCTCATGGCTGCATTTTAAGTTAAGGCTTACTTTACATTAGTAGCAGGGAAACTGAAAGACAGTTAAAAAAACCCCAAATCAACCCTGTATTTATAGATAATTTCACTTACCTGGTAAACTGAACTGCCTCCTACTATCCAAACCATGTCCACTTTATTTCTTAATTCTGGTTGCTCAATAAGTTTTAAGGCCTCATCCAGACTTTTAGCAAGAAAATGAGCTCCTTGTGGGGGTTCTCTAATGTGAAAAAACACAAACAACCCCCCCAGCTAATCAACATAATTCTTGTAAAATCCAATTACTTTAGTTACGTGATCAGATGAAGAAGCAGAGATTACAAAATTAAAATGACCATTTATAAGAGTCTTGACATAAAAAAAGGACAAAGACATTTAACATTAATAAAGGTAATAGTTCAACCCAAATTTAGTTATCTGTAATTTACAATAAATTAAAATTAAAAAAAATGCTATCTTGGGATAACTGTGGTGGAAAAATCAGGACTTTGGTTGTCTTTGGAAGAGGACAAAGTAAAGACTGACTAGAAAGGAGCCATATGGTGATGGTAATAGAAATATTCTCTAACTGAAATCCAGTTTGGGTTCTATAGGTAACTAACAGCAAGTATACGCTTAAGACTTGAGCGTTTCATTATATATAATATGGGTTTCATGTCTTTCAAAAATAGAAAACTCTAAAGAAATACTGAATTGTAGGTAAAGGATAAATAGATGGAAATAACCTGTATCTTCGTATCTTCAGCTTTCACTGAAGTATGTAAAAAGATCGATGTGGATATGTGATAAAGCAAGCATACTAAGATGTTAATGGTATCTAGGTGAGAACTCTGGTGGCCAAGTGGTAAGAAGCTGTGCTGCCAACCCAAAAGCAAACAGTTCGGATCCATCAGTTATACTATGGGAGAAAGAGGAAAAATCTCCTCGAGTTTGATTTACAGCATCTGAAAACACCCACTGGAGGGAAAAGTTCAGTTATGAGTAAAGTTATGAGACTAAAAGGCACATTAAAAACAACAAAGAGCAAGTGGTTATAGTTTCTACTACAAAATTCATCTGGGTGTTTGATACAATGCTAGAAAAAGAGCGGTATGCTTGAATGACTTTGAAATGATATTAAAGCTGTCACTATGTAATTACCCTCAGGGAATGCATAAAGAGCTTTTATATTTCAAACAATACAGAAATGGATCTGACGTTGAAAAATAAGCGTATTATTACTTATGTTATAAAAAATAAATTAGCAGTGATAAAATACTTCCTTAGCGATAAAAATGACACCAGAGATCACTTGATAGAATTTTGCAAGATTTATTCATTCCAACTATATAAACTGTGAGCTATACACATGGACATCTTCAGATAGAACACATGGAAAACAGTCAACTATATCTGTGAAAAGAGGTGGTGGAGAAGCTCAATGTCATCAGTAAGAATTAAGCCAGGGACTGGACCCACCATGGAATAGACCATTAATTCCTTAAATGCAAGTTCAAACTGAAGGGGGGAAAAAAAAATCAAAGCAAATATATAAGAATTGAAGTACAAGGGACCTCTGGTGGCCTAGTGGCAAGAAACTGTGCTGCAATCCTGAAGGCGCACAGTTCAGATCCACCAGATGCGGTACTGGATGGAGAAGGAGGGGCAATCTCCTCCTGTGCCAGTTGGATCTGACTCGATGGTACACAAGGAAAAAAAAAGAATTGAAGTACAACCCAACCATGAATATGCCCATTGCCTCTGAATCGATTCTAATGCAGAGAAAAAAACCTATCTGCTTTTCTGAAGCTCTAAATCTTTACATAAAACAATGATCCATCTCTCCTCTAGACAGCAGTTGGCCTGAATTTAGAGATAATCTCTGGAATAGATTCAGTACACTGTATGTTAATGAATAAAGATTACATGAATTATAGGACCGCATCAGAACATTGTATGTGAAGAAAGCAAAAGGTAGTTTAAAAAATAGGACAGAACAAAAAAGAACAAAATAGATTGGAGAATGGACTTTGAAACTTGTCCAAGAAATGTAGAGATGTGAAAGTGAATAGAAGAAATGATGAAGAAAGCTGAAAAAATGTCAGTGTGGCTTGAGAAGACAAAACATCATAATGGAATGTGCAAAGAGCTTCAGTTAGAAAACCAAAAGGGAATAACACGCTTGATATTCTTCAAGCTGAAAGAATTGAAGAAAAAAAAAAATTCATGTCAGAAGGATGCCCACTGTCACCACTTTCATTCTATATTGTATTGGAAGTGCTTGATAGAGCAATACAGTAAGAAAAGGAAATATAAGGCATCCCGATCAGCAAAGAGATGGTTAAACTGTCGTTATATGCAGATGATGTGATAGTGTACACAGAAAACCCCAAGGACTCAACAAAAAAAAACCTGTTAGATCAATATCCAAAAATCAGTGGGATTCCTCTACAGTAACAAAGAGAACTCAGAGAAAGAAACTAAGAAAGCAATATCATTTACAAGAGCAACCACAAACTGAGATACCTGGGAGTGAATCTAATTAGAGATACAAAAGACCTATGCAAATAAAACTACAGCACATTTTTGCAAGTCACAATAAAAGACGTAAATAAATGCCAAAATGTTCTCTGTTCATGGATAGGAAGACTGACTCAATATCGAGAAAATGGCAATCCTACTAAAACAATCTATGTTTCATTGTAATCCCAATCCAGATACCAAATTCCTTTTTCAAGGATATCAAAAGGGAAATTGCCAAGTTTATTTTGAGAGGAAAGAGACCCTGAATAATCAAAATATATCTAAAAAACAAAAATGAAGAGGGAGGCATAGCACTCCCTGACCTCAAAACCTGCTACATAGCAGTAGTAATCAAAACGGCATGGTAGTGGTACAGTGACAGGCATATGGTCCAATGGAACAGAATTGAGAACCCAGAGGTGGACCCATCTATCTATGGTCAACTGATATTCAGCAAGGAAATAAAATCTATCAAATGGGGAAATGATAACCTCTTCAACTAATGGTGCTGGCGAAACTGGACTGCTACCTGCAGAAAGCTGAAACAGGGTTCGCATCTCACACCATACATAATAATCAACTCAAGGTAAATAAGAGACCTGGAAATAAAGTCCAAACCCATAATGTTCATAAGAGACAAACTGGGCTTAAGCTTAGAAACCCTAGTCTACTGTACAAAGAGACTGCCAAATACAGTCAAATGCACAATCTGAAGAGGATAAAATTGATGTATGGGACCTTTTGAAGATTGAATCCCTATGTTCATCAAAATCATTTTCCAATAGGGTGAAAGAAAACATACTGACTAGGAAAAAACATTTGACAATACTATCTCAGACAAGGTTCTTATAACAAAAGTTTACAAATACTCTGGGGCCTCTAGAAGAAAAAGACTGATAATCCAATTACAAATGGGCAAAAGACAGGGAAAGACTTTTCACAGAGGAAAATATTCAGACAGTCAACAGACACATGAAAAAATGCTCAAAATCACTGGCAATAAGAGAATGCAAATCAAAACCACAATGAGATATCATCTTACCCCAGTAGCAGTGGCAAAGTTTATCAGGGCAACAAGTAATAAATGTCGGAGGGGATGTGGCAAAATAGGAGCTCTTGTACATGGGTGGTGGGATTGTAAAATGGTACCACCACTCTGGAAGGCAGTTTGGGGTTTCCTCAAAAAGCTGAACATGGAAATTCCATATGACTCAGTTATTCCACTGCTTGGAATAGACCCTGAGAAAATGAGGCACCAACAGAGACTTGGTCATAGCAAGCAGCATTATTATATTGCAAGAACATGGAAACAGGCCAGATGTTCAACCACAATCGAACGGATTGAGAAAATATGGTACATTCATAAGATCGAATACTGTGCAGCATGCAGAAGCAATGATTTTGTAAATTACTACTTGGGAGGGACTAAAGAGCATTATGCTAAGTGAATGAACTCAGTCCCATAAGGACAAATAATGTATGAGACCATTATTGTAGAGGAAGGCGGGGAGGGAGCAGCAGATGGGTGAGGAGGGGTGTGTAGGAGGTTGGGCTTAAACACAGGGTTGCACAATTTGATGGGTGGACAGAGGAGGGGATAAAGGAAAGGGTAAAGATCAGTGCAAAAAACAATGTATATGAATTTTGTAAGTAAACCAGTATAAAATAAAAATTTTATAAAAATAAAAATTCATGTCAGTTGTCATAAGGCAGGATTCTATGAGTGACACAGAAGCATTAAAAGAGAGAAGGAATACACTGATAGACCGTAACAAAAATAATTGGTTAATATTCAATGATTTCAGGACTTAACATATACTCAAGAACTGATAATACTGAAACTTCAAGTTCCAGATGCACTCAAAGTACTGGCAAAAGACGAGGTTCCAAAGGGTGATGAAATATCAACTGAAATGTTTCAACAAATGGATGCTGGAAGTGCTTGCTCATCTATGCGAAGAAATGTGGAAGGCAGTTGTCTGGCCAACTGACTGAAAGAGATCAACTTCTCTGCCCATTCTAAAGAAACATGATCCAAAAGAAAGCAGAAATTACTGAACTAATTTTTGCTGAAAAGAATTAGAAAATGGTTGCAGCAGTGCACCTGGACTTTAAGAAGAAAGACCAGCAACATGTTCACCTGTTTATTGCCTATGCAAAGGTATCTGAAAAAAAAGGCACACTGGTGTGCGTCACAACAAATTATGGTTAACATTATAAAGACCCTTAACAAGATGAATTATCACAGTGACTACAGCAATGGGCTCAAGTATGTCAGAAATGGTGAAGATGGCACAGGCTAGGACAGTAGTCCAATCTGTTAATAGTTGTATAACTAGGAAAATGTTCTAAGTTGTATTCAATTCAGTGGCACCGAACAACAGCATAACAACAACATTGTAAAGATTGGGAATTCTAGAACACGTAGGTATTGTGCATGTAGAAAGTATACATAGACCAAGAAGCAATTGTCTGAATAGAACAAACTGCCATGCCACGGTTTAAAATCAAGCTCCATTTCACATACTTTGGGCACATGGAGAGAAAGGACCCATCCTTGGAGAAGGACACCATGCTTAGAAGGGTGGAGGGACAATGCAGGAAAGAAGAACTTGGATGAGATGGACTGACATGGTATCTGGGGTAAAAAGGAAAGGTGCGTCGGAATCAGTGAGACTGGCTCAGAATAGGGTTAGGCTTCAGAGCTGTTGTACATAG